GTAATTCAGTAGGAAATATCTACTTCCACCTATAAAATATAATTGCAAAAAAAGTAGAAACTCCATCTAATCAACTTCTCAATCTAATCAGCAGTTCATACAAAGAGAAAAACCAGTTAAATGAGTCCCAAAGAAGTAATTAGCCAAATCAAGAATGTAGTGTTTTCTCCAGGGAAAGTTGTTATGTTTTTTAAAAGGTGAAGATGACTGTTACAGAACAAAAATACTGAAGAGATTTAACAACCAGATGTAATAGCTGGATTGTGTTTTGGCCCTGATTCCAACAAAACAATTCTGTAAGGACACTTTTGAGAAAATAAGACAAATTTGAAAATGGACAGGGTATGACATGATAGTAAGAAATGTTCATGAATTCAGTAATGAGATGGCAGTTATATAAAAATCTTTCTTTTTGGTTATAGACTCATAGTTGGTTAGAGACTCATGATGTGGGATTTGCTTTATAATACTATTTAAACAAAATATAAGGAATACAGGATAGTTCCAATGAGACTGACAAAGTGGAAATTATTGAGACTAGTGGAAGATACATGAAGATTCATTTAAAAAATCTGTACTTTGGGGCCTCCCCTGGTGGCGCAGCGGTTGAGCGCTGGGCTGCAAGGCTGCCCGCAGCCTCTACAGCGCCAGTTCGTTCCCAGGCCGCTGGTGAGGGTCTCACAAAAAAAAAAAAAAAAAAAAAATCTGTACTTTGTGTGGCTTTGAAAATTTATATAATAAAAAGTTTAAAATGGGAAAAATATAGTGGGGAAAAGTCACAGAATTCTGGGTCTGCAAAGGTGAAAAAGAACCTCTAAGAAGATTATATTCTTAAGCAAGAAAAACAACACTAACCAGAAGTTTTTTTTATAAATAATTAATAAACTACTATTGATTAGTACTCCAGACGAAAAGTACAGCGTGTTCTGAGAGTGCAATTGGAATTGTGCCTGGCTATCTGGAAGGACCCTTGCATGCTTCTCAGCATTCAGCTCAAACATCACATCAGTTCTCAGTTATCCTATCTTCTCTAGGACTTTTAATCACTCCTTTAAATCTTAAATCTTATACATTATGCAGTTTTATCTATAACATCTATTGGAATGTGAATTCAACTATTGAATTCAACTATGAATGAACCCAAATCTGTCCAATCATGTCCACTTGTTCTTTCCTCTCACCAAGCTTAAAAAGTCCTTAATAACAGACACACTAGCTTATCCAGCCTTGTGTTCCTAATACTATTTAACTGTGAGCCAATGGAGATACTACCTGATCCTACTGATACAAAACTTGCACCAAATGGCTTGAATAGCCATAGTAATCACAGTCCAGATGCATTATAGAATAAATTTTTGAAAATAAAAGTGAGCTAAGGGCACAAACTTCTAATAAGACCTCTCTCTGCTCCTACAATAAGGCCATGACGTCAGGCCAGATGCCAGGACACAGAGGAACAAAAGTCCCTAATCTGGACCCTAACAACTCCAGTTCCTGATTTTTCTGATCATTTCCCCTCATTTCTGTCTACCTTAGCATGCAGTGAGGATTTTCTGTATCCTTCAGAGATAGAAGCAGCCTAGATTCATAGTTGAACGAACCCAAAACTCCACCAATAAAACAAAGTAATGTGCATAGTTTTCCCTGTGTTGCCTAACATGATAATCAAAGGACCCATTCAATGATGGGATTGTAGCAACCGGCAAAAGTATTTATTTTAATGTTTTTATGTATCCCATTTGTAAATAATATATACATACATAGATTTTGAAGAGAAAATGAGAACGAGTGGAAAAAGGATTCTGACATAAATCTTTACAATTTTTCGCAGCAAAAACATATTCTAGTCCCAGTAGAAAAACAAATAGTAGCCAAAACCTTCCACTGAGTTCAGCATAAGGACATATTTAAAAATTTTATGTGAGCTAATTTTTTTTGAGCTAACCTTGTTGACCTTGTTGTATGTGTATCAGAAGTATAGGATCATCCCCCTTCAGGTGTGGTTACCAAGCCACAGTCATCACCAATAGACTTCTCCCAAACTCCACTGTGTGAGCTTAATTTACATCTTGATTAATTCTGCTGAAAAGGGGGCAGTTTTACTCAGAAATGTCTCATGGGGCATGGTTAAGAGGAATGGGCTTCAGGGGCAGATCTCTCCCTTATTTCAACCTCAGATCAGAGCAAGGTAAGTATGCCCATTCTCTGATCATTTCCATCAACATAGTAGAGCTCCTAAAGAGAGGGACACTAAAGAACAAAACAGCAGAAGCAACAACAACAAAAATAGTATCCAGGTGAGTATTCCGTGAATTTAGAAATTTACAGGCTACAATGGCAATATATATGTCAGTCATATTTTTATTTACTAGCAATGAACAATTAGAAATTGGAAATTAAAAATAGCAATACCACCTGAAATAGCATCAGAATAACATGAAATACTTAAAGGAGACCTGTGTAAATTAAAAGTGTACTGGGGGGCCTCCCTGGCAGTGCAAGGGTTTAAGTCTCAGCACTCTGAAGCTATTGGCAACCACTGCAGCCTGAGTTCTATCCCCAGCCAGGGAGTTAACCCACTTGGGGCAGCAGACCTCTCCCTTCTCGCCCCACTGCTTCCCTCAGCAGTGCATTTCAATAGATCTGCCTGTTCTGCTCCCCATTTCTGTCTCTGGTGAATCCTCTCACCCCCTGTACCTCTGGCCTATATCCCAGTTCTTATATGCATAAATAAATATTTAAAAAGAAAGTATACTGGGTTTATGGATCAGAACCTTTAATGCTGTTAACATGTATTTCCCACATATTAACCCACAAATATTTAAAACAAACCCTCAATAGGATCAATAGAGAAGAAAGATGACAAGCTATATTAAATGCTCCCATGAAAATCCCAGCAGTCTTTTTTTGTAGATTTAACATGCTGATTCTAAAATTCATACAAAATGCAAAGGATTTAAAATAGTCAAAGTAACTTTGAAAAAGAACAAAGATATGAGATTTATACTACAAGCAACATAAAACTATATTAATCAAAAGTGTGACATGGGCATAAAAAGGAGAATTAGATAAAATCAGACTGCATAAGGAGTCTAAAAGTAGACCCACACATGTGGTCAGTTGATTTTTGACAAAAATATTAAATAATTCAGTAAAAAATGGATAGTCTTTCAAGAAATAACCCTGGAACTACTGGTACCAAGGCAAAAATTATAAACTTTAATCCACAGGCACCCCCATTTAAAACCCCAAAAGGATCTGAGGGCTAAATGCAAAGTCTAAATCTATAAAAGTTCTACAAGAAAACATAGTAAAAATGATGCTTAATTAATGCAAAGATTACCTAGATACAACAAATCATGATCTATAAATGAACAAATTTACAAATTAGACTTTATCAAAATGAAGAACATCTGCCCTTTGAACGATTCTTAAGGAAATGAAAGACAAACCACACAGAGAGAAAATCATTTCAGACCGTTGAAAATTTAACATCTTATAAAACACTTGTAACAATATATTATTTTTAACTCACAAAAGTACTCCATAATAAAAAATAAAATGCACAAAATCTTTGAGTGGACACTTGACCAGCAAAGATAAATAAATGAGTAATAAATGAGCCCTCTGTATATAAAAAGATAGTCAATATCATTAATCATTAGGGAAATGCAAATCACAATCACAATGTGATACCACTATACACCTAAGGTATTGCTAAACAAAATTTTAAATTGATAATAATGAATTCTGGCAAGAATATGGATGTAAAATTGGACAACATTCTTGGAAAACAATTTGGCAGTTTCTTATAAAGATGAACATGCACCAACCATATGACTCAGCCATTCTATTCCTAGGCATTTACCCAAGAGAAGTAAAAGAATAAATGTATGTACACTAAAGGTGTGTACACTAATGCTCTTAGCAACTATATTGGTTATAACTAAAATTTGGAAACAACCCAAATGGCCCTCAAAATGTGAGCCAATAAGCAAATTGTGGTGTATCCATACAATAGAATATTAATAATAAAAGAGAATAAACTATTGATACATGCACTAACAGATAAATCTTAAAATATATTGAGTGAATCAAAATGAAAGAGGACATAATGGATAATTTCATTTATATAAAATTTTGGAAAATGAAAACTAATATATACTGAAAAAAGTCAGATCAGTGGCTTCCTATACATGGGGAGGAGGTTGGGGAAAGGAGTAAAAAAAACAAAAACAAAAACAAAAAGATGTGAATGGGAAGAATTACAAAAGGGCATAAGGAAAATTTAGGAAATAGATGGATATGTTTATTATCTTGATAGTAGTAATACTTTCATAACTGTGTGTGTATAATCTGTATATGAAAGGGTTTTCTAAATATAATGGTGGGTATATTTGATATATATAAGTATATATCAAAACTTCTTAAGTTATACACATTAAATATTATATATCAATAATACCTAAAGTTTTTTATAAGCTCACAAAAAACATTATACTTAAGAAAATTTATATGTTTCTCTTTTAATGATCATGCACAGGGCCTCCCTGGTGGTGCAGGGATTAAGTCTCAAAGCTATCAAGCAACATCAGCCACTGTGGTCTGAGTTCAATCCCTGGCCAGGGAGTTAACCCACCTGGTGCAGCACACCTCTGCTGTTCCTTCAGCAGTGTATTTCAGTAGATAGGCCTTCCTTTTCTGTTCCCCACTCTGTCTCTGTTGAATCCTCTCACCCCTGCACCTCTGGCCTACACCCCAGTTTTTGTTTGCATAAATAAATAAAATCTTTAAAAAAGGATAATGAACAAAAACTGTAGCTCTCACTACTGATTCAACATAATAGGAAGTCCTGCATAACTACCTAAGAAATAAAAAGGAATAAGAGATCATAGGGGCAGGAAGGGACACGGAGCAGGATCTTTGTGACCGGAGCAGACAGGGTAAAGGAGAGAGTCCTGGAGCCCTCAGCGGGTTTTCAGGCTTTTATTGGGATTTACCAGGTACACAGCAGGCAGGGCTGGCAAGTCTTCACTCTGTCTGGGCTCTCCGGCATTTTCTGGTGGTCTCGTCTTCTCGGCTTCTCGGCTTTCCCTGCTTCTCTTCTACTAGCATCCCCGTGACACCACCCTTAAAAAACCAGTCTTAGCCCAGGTGAATCCCATCTACCTATGCCCACACCCTACTCCAGGTGCCCGCCATCAGGCATGCATTCAGGACCACAGGGTTCCATCATCTATCCTAATGGCGGGAGGGCAGAAAAGCCTGATACTTTTTACCTTACCCTACAGAGATGAATCAAAGAAATTCATAACTCAAAGAGAAAAGACAAATAGGTCAGTATTTACAAAAGATATAATTTGCCTAAAGAAAAAAAACCGTGGATAGAATAGGTGAGAGGTGTTCTATGTAGAACACTTGAAAAATATAATATATAACATAGAAGTTTAAGTAAATAAATGGAGAGTTGTAAAGCAACCAACCCATTCTGAGCAGGTTTATAAACGGTTCTAGCAGCCACATGCTCTTCGCCGTGGTTTGTAGTCGCTCCAACACTCCTCCGTACACTCCACTCCTCCACCCTTAACACCGCACTACCACCACACCGCACTCTGCTGCACCACCCTTATATTATCAGTCTTTTAGCGCAGGTGTACCCACTTCAGGTGCCCGCCATCAGGCATGCACCCAGGATCACAGGGCTCTCTCATCTATCCTGATGGCGGAAGGGCAGAAAAGCCTGATACCTTTTACCTTACCCTACAGTCCACCCCCTCAGGGTTTTCTGCCACATAGTCTACGTATGTACAATTTTTTTAAGCAAACATAAACAGTGCAGCCCTGGACCACAAAAGCAAACACACCACAAAATGACTAAACTTAATTTTCCTAGGGGCGGAAGGACAGAGAAGTTACCGGTACCAGCAATGGGAGATCCCTCCCATCGGGCAATATACATGCCAATTTGGCATCCGAAGACAATATTGTTGCTGGCATCAGTGGCCTTCCAGGGCGTGAGTACCACACTCGCTTTGCCAGTGAAGAGGCATCAGTGGGTTCTACATGCAGCAGGAGTGGAGAGCTCATAATGGGCCACAGAGTTATTACAAATGTCCCCTTGAGGATTGCCTGCTGATCTGTTACTCCAGGGTGGGTAACACGCACCCGTGGCGGCCACTGAGCACTCACCCATGGTTTTATCTGTAAATTGGCCTCCAGGCCACGACCCCAAGGGGCTATCAGAGCCACCCACCGCATGTGGGGAGCCTTCACTGTCCAGGGCCATTCCCAGTCCACAGTCTGCCCTGGGTCCACTCCAGGAGGGTGTGGTCGCCCTGGCCATACCGCCGACTGTTCTGCAGCCTCTGTTGCAAGGATGGGTGTGAAGTCACGGAGGCCAGTCTCTCCATCTCTTGAGCCGTGCAAATAATCCCATCCACCCCCAGGTCCCATAAACGTAGCAGCCAGGCTGCCAAGGGTTCCCCTGGTTTCTGGCGGAACTGTTTGCCCAAGTCCACCAGTTCCGCCTGGGTGTAAGGTCTGTAGGTAGTAAATTCCGTCATCTGTGGTGGTCCCGCTGCCTGACCCCCTGGGGCCATGGGTCGCTGCCGCTTCATTTTCTGAGTCACCACCGGGCGGGCCCGGAGCATGGGCTCGGCCTCCTCCTCCTCTCCAGAGGAGTCCGGCATCTCCGGGGTGGCGGGTTGGTTTACCACTGCCGGTTGGGACTCAGGCAAAGGTTCAGCCTCCCTCTCCTCCTCTCCTGAGCAGGGGTCAGGCATCTCTGGAGTCGCAGGCTGGTTTGCCACCCCCGGCTGTGATTCGCGCAAAGGGCCCGCCTCCCTCTCCTTCCTTCCTGAGACGGAGTCTGGCATCTCGGGAGGGGTGGGTCGGTTTCTCCGAACTTCTTCCTCCAGAATCCTCAAATGTTGTTGCTGTATCCGCATCTCTTCTCGTATCTCTTCTCGCATCTCATCCAGTACTTGCTGGATCCTAGATTGCTCTTTCCGCCTGGACTCTCGCAGAGCCGTGAGAAACACCCATCCCACGGCTCCTGCCGCCTCGCGGGCACTGCATCCACTCAGGGTTTCTTCTATTTCAAACAGGGCCTGTTCCAACTGCCCCGGGGATCCATCTACCTCTGGCCATTCCTGGGGAGGTGCCCACTGGGCGAGGAGGTCGGCCACCGGGTACCATCTGCTCGTGGCCGGCCATCCAGGGATCCCTCTCCAGATTTCAAAGGGTTTCGTCTGCGTAGAGCTGTTCTGCCTCGAACCATCCTGCCGACTACGCCAGTTGTAAAGCAACCAACCCATTCTGAGCAGGTTTATAAACGGTTCTAGCAGCCACATGCTCTTCGCCGTGGTTTGTAGTCGCTCCAACACTCCTCCGTACACTCCACTCCTCCACCCTTAACACCGCACTACCACCACACCACACTCTGCTGCACCACCCTTATATTATCAGTCTTTTAGTGCAGGTGTACCCACTTCAGGTGCCCGCCATCAGGCATGCACCCAGGATCACAGGGCTCTCTCATCTATCCTGATGGCGGAAGGGCAGAAAAGCCTGATACCTTTTACCTTACCCTACAAGAGTTGTTCCAGGCTTTAGAAGTGAAGGACAGAACTTCCCAAAGATGTGTCACTTTGGCATATAATTATTTTAAACTAAGGCCAATCAAGACCTTGAAGACTCAAGAGATGTTTACCATTCCCTAAACTACCAAGAGGAATGATAATTAGGGGTATTACCCAGATTTAGGGTTAAAATAAAAGAGAAAAATCAGATCTGAACTTCTCTGATTGACGAGGATAGGATAAATGTTTCAGATTCTTTGCAGCCTTCTTTCTGAAGTCTAGGGTGCTTTGGTTTATACATGTAAAAACCATCAAGCTAGATTCTAACTGAGGGTATGGGAAGGAAGAGGAGCAGAATTTGCATGTCTATCAAGAACATAGGGTTGCTAATGATGCTAATGCTACAAGTCTGTCCTCCACCTTTTAACAAGTTACTGCATGATTTCAATGCCTCTACAATACCGATGTGGAATTTTATCTTTGTTTTACTAAACACTCATTTTTGTAAGTCCATTGGCAACAGAGATCCATCACAAGATGCATTACTGGCTTCCGATTTACTAATGAAAAAGCTGACAAGAACAATTAGAATCCAGATCTGCACTGAAGCACCAGAGCACAGTGATGGAGAACATAACTTCTCAGTGTGATAGAAGTAGATTCAAGATTCAACTGGAACTGGACTCAAATTTCAGTTTTCCTACTATAGGGTAAGGAAAAATGTCAGGCTTTTCTGCCCTCCCGCCGTCAGGATAGATGATGGATCCTTGCAGTCCTGAATGCATGCCTGATGGCGGGCACCTGGAGTAGGGTGTGGGCCTAGGTAAATGGGATTCACCTGGGCTAAGACTGTGCTGTTAAGGGCGGCGTCATGGGGATCCCAGCAGAAGCAGAAGAAGCTGAAAGAGAAGCCAAGAGAGAGAGAGATCACCGGAGAGCCCAGATAGAGTGAAGACTTGCTGGGGCTAGGAGGCCTACCAGCCTCCCGGCCCCCCAGCACCCCTGCCTGCCACGTACCTGCTGAACCCCAATAAAAGACCTGCAAAACCCCTGAGGGCTCTGACTCCTCCTTTACCTGGTCTGCTGGATCAGAAAACCTGCACTGTGGTCATTCCTTGCTTTACACCTACTTACTGATTGGGTGAGCTTGGTAAATAACTTCATCTATATGGATATCAGACTTTGAATGTAACATGGAGATAAAAGTATTTGTCTTTGAGGCTGCTGTTTTTGTGAGGATCATAAATGATATTATGATTTAAGGTCCTTAGCACAGTGCCTATGCTAAGTATTCATTAATAGGCACTATTTTAAAGAATTTTTCATAAAATCTTAACTCCTGTATCGAAGCACTTGTGTAAAAATAATTATAACCTGTGGCTAGTAGACCCAAAACAAAGTTATAATGTTAAACCTAGAGCACATGAAAGGGTAATCAACAGAAAGACTAGATCATTTTTGTCAGTGTCCTACTGACAATTTATTACCTATCCATAAAGTAATGTCAACATGTCATTACAGTTACTCAGTTGTCAGAAAGGATTGTACATCTAATGTGTCTTTCTAAGAACAAGTTATAAATAAAATACAAAGCAAGAGCAGATCTTTTCTAAGTTATAAACTAATTAAATCTTTCCTGAAACTGCTCCTCACTCTGTGAATCCTCTCACTGCCCCCCACACCTCTGACCTACACCCCAGCTCTTTTATGCATAAATAAAATAAATCTTAAAAAAAAATGAAAAAAAAAATTCCTGAAACATTGTAGGGTAAGGAAAAATGTCAGGCTTTTCAGCCCTCCCATCAGGATAGATGACGGAACCCTGCGGTCCTGAATGCATGCCTGATGGCGGGCACCTGGAATAGGGTGTGGGCATAGGTAGATGGGATTCACCTGGGCTGAGACTGTGCTTTTTAAGGGCAGAATCACGGGGACGCCAGCAGCAGCTGAAAGAGAAGCAGAGAACGAAGCAGCAGAAGCCAAGAGAAGAAGAGAAGCAGAGGAGCCCAGATAGAGTGAAGATTTGCTGGGGGCTGGGAGAACTTCCAGCCTCCCAGCACCCCAGCACCCCTGCCTGCCATATGCCTGGTAAAATGCCTATAAAAGACCTATAAAAGCCATTGAGGGCTCCAGGACTTCTCCTTTACCCAGTCTGCAAGGGATCCTAGAAAACCTGCACTGTGGTATTCCTGCTGCTACAAACATTGATTACATTGCCTCAGTTTTTCTGTCATTTTTTTTCTGTTGAAACACTGCTATTATAAGAAAAGAAACATTTTATAATCATCATTAAGACCAAGTGCCAACATTCCATCATATCAAAAATACTCCCTCTAATATCTCCCAGTTCACCATACATAAATTATCAAAATAATTTTTTTGAAGATTCTACACTACAGAATTATAGATTTAAATGTAGGAGAGCATATCACTTTTTTAGGAAACATGCTCAAAATTACATGTTTCTTTCAGATTTCCTTTGATTTAGAACTTGCAACTATG